GAAACATTCATACAGACACACATACACAAACACACACACATACAGACATACATTCAGACACATACATACAGACACACACACATACATACACACATACAGAAAAACATTCATACAGACACACATACACAAACACACACACATACATACAAACACACACATACATATACAGACACATACAAACAGACACACATACAAAATGTTTTAGTCACCCTTCTGTTTGCTACCTTTTAGGTGCAGGAGGGTGACTTTCCCTGGGATCCAGTAGCTCAGCCTGATGGGAGTCAGAGTTCCCCCTCTGACTACCTCTTCTCCTTCCTCCTCCACGGCTCCCGGTGAGTGCTTTGAGGAGTTACTGGGGCTGTCACTTCCTCCAAGCATTTGATATCATCACAGGGAGCCCAATCGCGCTGTTAAAGCACTGCAGCGCTGACCAGGCCACCTGGAAATTAATTGCCAACGGGATGGCCCTAACAGCATGGGCCAACCGATGTGCCCCTTAAATGCGGCCCCGGCGGTTATTCTGCGCGGGCCAGGGCCGCGTTACATAGCCAGCAGGCACTGCGGTCGCAGGGGTCCACAGGGCAGCCGGACCGCCGAGCCGCCTAGAGTGACGCCTAGAGTGACGGGCCTCATTGCAGCTGCGACGCCTGTGACCCCTGCAGTTGTGGTACTTCTGCCACTGGCCTAGGTTCTCTTTGTAATGGCACATGATGAGCTAAAATGAGGTTAAGAGCCATCGAACCCAGTGACCCATCGAAGGGAAAGCTACTCTCTTACATCTTATTTTTTTTTACATGTTATATATGTGTTAAAAGTAAAAACTACAGTAAGATAAAATAACTAAAATTAGATCTTGGCACTCAAAATACGGAAGCAGAGTTCTAATAAGATAAGACAAAGAGGAAAAATAAAGTGAAAACATTCCCAGCCGTTTCCAAGGTTAAATAAAGGTTATTATGTTATGGATACTATAAGTTATTCCTTATGTTAATAATATTCTCATGGTATAAAAAGATTAGCAAATTACTTAATAAATAATCTACAATGCACATCAATTTCTGGCACTGTACACTTGGTTTTGTATTAGGAAAATACAACAGAATTGTACTCCAGGTATTACCAGATATTAAGAATAAAAACAATGAATTTGGTTTTATTAAGTATTAGGTTTTATGGAAGCATAGCTGCAGCTACCAAAGAATACCACTAGCATAGAATACCAATCACATAGTACTTGACAGCTGGTCTGACCATAAAAGCTTAGGACAGTTTGCCACTAGTGTCAATACACACAACATTATTGATTATCCTCATATAATGTTGACAGTTGTAAAAGTCACGTTTGACAAAACAGAGTCAATTTGTCACACGTATTTAGGATTGTCTTGGTGTGACTGTTAATTTTATATGTGCTATTTGGAATAAGTAAACAAATATGGTATGTGTAATAATGCTGTATGTGAAGGTTAAGGCGTGCATTGTCTATGCAGTGTCAATGTGAATCAGTGTTTGTGTATGTGTGCAATGTCATTATGGGAATATGTCCATGTCCCTGTGTCTGCAATGTCACTATCTGTGTATTTTGGTGTTTTTGTGTTTCTATGTGTGTTAAGTGTCCGTATATGTGAACATGGCAAAGTCTGTGTGTTTTAACAGATGTACACCACAGACGCCTGTGAAGTACAATTTCCTTTATGCTTAGTCAATCTAAAGTGTTGGCTGATCATCATGGGAATTGTGTATCACATGCATTTTTACATGCTCCTTCCCTTCTTTTTTCACTATCATTCTTTCTTCTCTGCTGTCTCTTGCTTGTTCTGGCACTCTTATCTGACCTATACATGAGATACTTGCTGTTGCTGGCTGAGTGCTGCCACAATAGAAATGTTCCCTGTTCTATCCTAATACCGAAATTAGTTACACTTATAATGCTTTATCTTCTTATTGCTCACTTATTGCTCACTTTTTTTTATTTCTGTACAATCTATATGGTAACATGTCACAACAAATATTGGCAAAAACAGGATTGTCATGACGATTACTTCTGATTGTCTGTATGCTGTTAACTCTCGCATGCACTCTAAGTGAAATTTTACTTTTCTTTTATGTTATATAATTTTTCTGGTGTTCAAGTTCCTTTCTATGCGCAACTCATTGGTTACAATAAATTGGCATTAAACATTTTTGTATGTTCCCCTTAGGTAGCTCCTTACACTGTGTTGGTTTCTCTTCATATTTTCCTCTTCGGTACTTCTACCTTAGTCGCAACTAAGTATCTCTCTCAAATCCTCATTACATGTCTTTCAGCAAGCCAGCTTCTTGTTTTTTACTTACATCCATTATGAGTTTCCATAACCGTGTTCATCAGTAACACCTGTGTTTCTGTTCTCTTTACCTTTCTGCTCCGTCTAACTGCTTAAACACAGAGCAATTGATGGCTGCGCTTGGAGTAACATTTAATCTTGAGATACTTTGAATCACCTTAGTGCCACCAGTCATGTGAGGTTTATGTTTTTATTCTTAACAGTAGGGAAAAGTGAGCACTGATATCTCAGCTATGCTATAGGACTTTATGTAAGTGAATGGAAACAGGTGACCAGTTGTGGACTTCTTTGAATTCCACAACCAACTAATTGATGCTCCATATGGTGTGGTGGTTTCCCCTCTTTGTGTGTGCTCTATTTGATCACACAAGATCCAGCACACCAAAGGTAAATTTGATGGCCTCTCCCATATATATTGACTTAGCTCCTCCCAGAGTCCCACCCTTTACCACAACGTATGTCCAAACCTAAAACATTTACTATGAAAATTACATTATGAGCCTTTACGTACCTGAACTTACATACAATTTGCTAAGTATTAACCAAGTGTAGACATAATATTAACCTCTATTGCAATTAATGCAAAACAACAAAAAATGGTCTTTTATGTGCATACGGTTTTGAAAGTAATGGTGAAAGGATGTAAAGGCAACAGACAGGCATGGAACTACCAGAGGTGCAGCCAACCAAAAAATGTACTCTCAGAGTTAAACTCTGAACAGAAAACAATAGATGAATTTCGTCCCAACCGAACAGTCCAATGGATGATTTTTGGTTTCATTTCCGCAGTGTCTATACACATTGATTATGAATAATGATAAAATAAGTGACATTTAAAAACACAGTGAAGTGATATCTCGCAATAAGTAGTGTCACCACCACTACAAAACATGATAAAGGCATACACAGTGGTTACCACACAATGTGCTTTAAGTATTTTTCAATTTAGTTTCAGTGCTAAAGCATAACAGAGAAAACAACTCTCATAGTGTAGATATGTTTATTGTCTTAAAAATAACTGGGTGATTCTCATTTTAATGAGTCTAGATAGCTGGCTCACACTTAAAGGGACACTATAGTCACCTGAACAACTTTAGCTTAATGAAGCAGTTTTGGTGTATAGAACATGCCCCTGCAGCCTCACTGCTCAATCCTCTGCCATTTAGGAGTTAAATCCCTTTGTTTATGAGCCCTAGTCACACCTCCCTGCATGTGACTTGCACAGCCTTCCATAAACACTTCCTGTAAAGAGAGCCCTATTTAGGCTTTCTTTATTGCAAGTTCTGTTTAATTACGATTTTCTTATCCCCTGCTATGTCAATAGCTTGCTAGACCCCGCAAGAGCCTCCTGTATGTGATTAAAGTTCAAGTTAGAGATTGAGATACAATTATTTAAGGTAAATTACATCTGTTTGAAAGTGAAACCAGTTTTTTTTCATGCAGGCTGTGTCCATCATAGCCAGGGGAGGTGTGGCTAGGGCTGCATAAACAGAAACAAAGTGATTTAGCTCCTAAATGTCAGTGAATTGAGCAGTGAAATTGCAGGGGACTAATCTATACACTAAAACTGCTTTATTTAGCTAAAGTAATTTAGGTGACTATAGTGTTCCTTTAACAACATATTTAAAATCCACCTCCGATACTTCTCCTGGATTTACACAGCAGCAACATACTACTTTTATCCACTGACCAAGTATCACAAGAAACCAAAGGATGCAATTACTGTTTTACTGAGTGCTAAAAAATATTGAATAGCAAATTAAAAGAAAACCCACAAAGTAAATAAACAAATCAAATAATACCACTAAGTTAAAGGGACAAGCATCACTATGAGACAACTCTCTCATTCAACAGCTTTAGCTTTGAATGAAACAGTTGCATTACTCTGCAGGCTAAAAAAGCATGCAAATATGATTTGTTTCATATTTACCTGCTTCTTCCCTCTCATGTTTTCTCATCCACTCCAGGGGTAGGGAAACATTGATCTAACATATCAGTGTCCTATCCCCAGGAATGGTGGAAAAGTTCTTTGTTCATGCCTGGCAGATTTACGCAAATGCAGTTGTAAAATCTCTTTACCTTGAAACATTCTGACCAGAAGAGAGTGAATTTGATCAGTGTGATTCTTACAGAGCGGGCTCTTGAGTGCTTTTTTTTTCTAATTTGTATTTTTGTATAAAAGTGTTTACTTGCTGATTTTAGAAATAATTGTCAACTAGTGCATGTCCCTTTAAAAGGAAAATACAGGTCCATGCAACAAACATAGCTATTTTTTATATAGTCTGATATAGACTCATAAATGACCAAGATGGAATTGGAGTAGCCCTTTAAGACCATATTTGGGACTTCAAAACAATTCTGGTAGAAATTGAGCAATGTAGTGGAGGTTCACAGTTCAATCCAATTACTGCCATGATGGGTGCCCTAGGTGTGGATGACTACTCACACTGGCTAGAGCTCCCGGTGGATATTATAATGATCCTGTTGTGCACAAGTAACATGAGCATACAGGGTAACCCAGAAGAAAATGATATGTTGAATCCATTTTGGAATACTGTTGCTCTTCAATCAACTGGTGGGCTATGAGACCAGAGAGAGAATATAAAAAAAGTTGTTACGGCTATTTAGAACACCCCCTGGAGATGTCATTATCTAGCTATGCATTTTGTCAGACAAGCATACTCTATTAAAGGCACTTCTCACCTTCTGTCTGATTTGACATTGTGACATTTTCTATTTTTCAATATTGCTTTAGCAGAATCTGCAGTTATGGCAACAATTTGTGACGGTGACAGCTTTTCTTTAAATAAAACCACTGAATTCCCTACTACTGAAGTGTGGTGTGATCCTTTTGCTAATCTGCAACAGTCCCCCCCTCACCCCCCCAAAAAAAAACCCTTCTAAGCTGCCTTTATATACTGTGTTCCTTTTTTTTAATAAACATGCTGAATTTCTCTTTTTCCAAGAAAGTAGTCTATAGTGCTAGTAGAGACAACTACTGCAATTTCCGTCACTACATTCTAATAAACTTGGGTTTCTGTGCAGTTTGGGGACATATACGTGTCTGACCAATTAGCAACTCTCTATTTATTGTAGGAGAGACTGTCCACCTTCCATCACAATCCCCCATACTGAACATGCAAACCATCACATCCACTTTTACTCACAGATTTGTTTCATAAAGGAGCCAAGTACTATACCTAGGATTATAGATCTTGAAAGAACTCCATCAGACCAATGTAAATCTAACCAGCAGTGTGGTCTCAAACATTTCTCAGCTTCACAGGCTTGAAGGAACTTTTCAAGATTAATCCTATTTGCTAATGATGGTATATTGAAAAACTTGAATCAAAATTTTATCCAAAACTAGGTGCCGTGTACAGAAACAACACTTGCCTAAGCCCCACAGTAAAGGAAAGGATTGTACAGCAAATGCTGATGCCAATTATTGATTATGGAGATGTAGTATATGCACCCGCACCGCAATCCCACCTTAATAAACTTACTACATTGATTGTATAACTCGTTCTGCCTATTTGTGCTACAATGTAATTACAGGACCCACCATTGTGACATGCTAAAAGAGCTAAACTGTCTGTCGCTGGAATCCAGACGCACCCTTCATCTTTCCAGCCTTGTTTTTAAGGGCTTTTCTGGGAAACTCCCACCCTACCTGAAAAAAATGCTTTCCCCAGCTGTTCCCACCCCCTAAAACCTCTGATCCAGTACCAGCACTTTATTTAGTCTACCTCAATACAAAAAGAAAGCAGCCCGATCCTCCTTCTCCTACAGAGCACCACAATTATGGAACGACCTCCCGTACACTTTCAAATCTTCCCCAAGCCTATAGTCCTTTAAGAGATCCCTCTCTACATACCTCAAAACAGAATGCACGTGTTATGGTTGATTATATATTTCCTACCTGTTCTATGTTAAATTTTGTATTTATTGTGTATTAATATTGTTTTTGTTTTCCATTGTACCCTAATGTAACAATGCAATGTTTTGTTAACCCAGAACATACTTGAAAACAAGAGAAATCTCAATGTATCCATCCTGGTAAAATATTTTATAAATGAATAAATAATATGACTTTCAATATGGTAATCATTTATTGGAAAAGATGTGTATTTGTGTATTGACCAGAAGGTTGTGGTGCAATTTTGGAAACAACTGTTAAAGAGCAATAATACAAAACTAGAAAAAGTGCAAAGGTAGGATACACAATTAATAAAAGGGATAGAAGATATTAATCGTGAAGAAAAGCTAGAAAAAACTGCACTTGCTTTCTTTAAAAAAAAAAGTGCCTCGGCAAGTATATGATAGCACTATACAAATAAATACAGGCCAATACAAACAGCTATGTGCTTAGCTGTCCATGAGCAGGAATATACAACAGAGTGGCCATCCACTGAGAGTGGATAAAAGACAAAGGCTTATTTACAATAATAACTATAAAGATGTGAGTTGTCTGCCAAAAGAAGTCATATTATCAGATTCAGTAGATTTCTGAGAAAGGTCCGACTTTTCAAGCAAATGATTAATATGCATGGGAAAAGTTTGTTGATCCAATGAAAAACCTGAATGTATTATGGAGTCAAGAAGGAACTGTTTCTCTTTTCATGACACAATTGGCCATCACATAAAAAAAAGTGCTTATAGCTTGATTTTGATGGACTTTAGTCCTCTGTACCAACTACTATGATGAAGGAATATGGGGAACACATCCGAGGCAGCAAAATATTAACTGCTATTAAATAGAATACAGTTTACTGTGAGTTTCACTCATGTGGTGCCTTGTCGTAAAAGGAGTCTACCTGTAAAGGAGAGTGATCTATCTATGATGATGTCCTATCTGTGTTTCTGTAACTGTCTGTGTCTGCAGTTAAACCCCAGAGAAAAGATCTGAAGATGCAATGAATGAGAGAGAGAGATCGGTACGTGTTACAGAAAATATCAGACCTGCAGATTGCAAGACCTTGACAGAGATCTCGGTGTTGTGACCAATAAATACTAGAGAGGTCAAGAATACAGTTTGCATAAAAGAATAAATAAAACACATAGGATCTGATATACGTGAAGAACTGGTTAACTGGCCTTAATAAAGTTTAAGCCCATTAATGACACAAAACTATGTGTTTTTAAATATATACTTGAACTGAAATGGTAATGATATTCAGAATTATATCTAATGGGATCTATATAAATGTATCTGATTTGCTGTTATAATTACTGCCTTAGCAATATTATCATTTATATATAGCTATATAGCCCATATGACTGCCAGACAAAAACGACTTCACCCGCTTCTTTAACACACGCATCTTCAACTCCTCTCTCTCACTTCTGGCATTGTCCCTGCTGACCTTAAACATGCCACTGTAGTACCTATACTAAAAAAAACATCCCTCGACCCGTCCACCCCCTCTTATCTTTACCCGTGTGTCTCATTTCCTCAATTCCAACTCTCTCCTTGACCACCTTCAATCTGGTTTCCGCCCTCTCCACTCTACTGAGACTGCGTTACTAACGACCTAATCGCAGCTAAATCCAAAGGCCACTACTCCATACTAATTCTTCTTGACCTCTCAGCGACCTTTGACACCATTGATCATGCTCTCCTTCTTCAAACTCTTCAATCGCTTGGTCTCTGTGACTCTGTCCTCTCGTAGTTTTTCGCTTATCTCTCCCAACGCTCATTCAGTGTCTCTTTTTCTAATGATACCTCCTCCCCTTGTCCTGTCTCAGTTGGAGTCCCCCAAGGCTCTGTCCTTGGTCCCCTTCTATTTTCTCTTTATACTGCCTCCCTTGGAAAACTTATAACCTCTTTTGGATTCCACTACCACTTGTACGCTGATGACACCCAGTTATATCTCTCCTCCCCGGACCTCTCCCCTGCCGTCCTGCAACGTGTCACTGCTTGCCTTTCTTCCATCTCTGACTGGATGTCCTCCCGTTTTCTGAAACTCAATCTCTCTAAAACTAAGCTCCTTGTCTTTCCTCCTCCTAATAGTGATCCTCCTCTTTCGCTCTCCCTTCAAGTTTGTGGTACCCACATCAGTCCATCCTTGCAAGCGCGCTGTCTTGGTGTCATACTTGATTCTGGCCTCACCTTTGAACCTCACATCCAGCATGTTGCCAAATCCTGTAGATTCCATCTTAAAAACATAGCCCGCATCCGCCCCTTTCCTGCACCAGATACTACCAAGGAGCTTGACCATGCTCTAGTAATTTCCCGCATGGATTATTGTAACCCTTTCCTGATTGGTCTTCCCAAAAGCTGTACTGCACCGCTACAGTCTGTAATGAACGCTGCTGCCAGACTGATTTTCCTCTCTAGTCGTTTCTCTCACACCTCACCCCTCTGCCAGTCCTTACATTGGCTTCCTGTATGCTATAGGAGTCAATTCAAGGTACTAATTCACACCTATAAAGCACTGAACAACTCTACCCCCTCTTATATCTCCTCACAGATCCATAGGTATGTCCCTTCTCGGTCTCTCCGCTCTGCCGTGACCACCTCCTGTCCGTTGTCCGCACCCGTACGGCCAACTCACGCTTGCAGGACTTCTCGCGGGCAGCTCCCTTCCTATTGAATAGCCTGCCTACCGCCATCAGACTCTCCCCTAGTCTTGCATCTTTTAAGAAGTACCTTAAAAACCTCTTTAGGAAAGCTTGTGGCCTCCAAGACTAACCTCTACCTCACATACCTGTATCTTGCTCTCTCCTAAAGGGCAGCCCACCTTATTTGACTGCAAATTCCTGTCCTAATGTGTTTTACACCCCACCTCCTATAGAATGTAAGCTCGATTGAGCAGGGTCCTCTTCAACCTATTGTTTCCGTAAGTTATTTGTAATTGTCCTATTTATAGTTAAATCGCCGCTACGGAATCTGTTGGCGCTATATAAATGGCAATAATAATAAAATAATAATAATGAATGAGTTAATTTCCTGGTTTAGCGTATGGCATAGGTTAAAATCTTGACATGATACAATTATGCAAATTTGAACATGCATATTACATTATATTACATATTATATATAAATATTCTATTAAATGATACATTCTGGATCATGGTTATTTTTTTTTATCTGCCATATATTAATGCTAATCCTCTTTTTCCCCTATTCCATGTTAAAATGGAAATACTCTTACTTAATTTGAAATTCTATATCCATTTATATGCAAAAGGGAAGCACCTGTCTGCTAAAAATTGGTCTGTAGTTGGAAAATGTCCTGAGGAATGCAGTCTAGTATGTTTTATTGCAAACTTTTAAACTCAATTAAAACATTACATTTAGCAGTTAAAATATTAAACATGGAAATAAATAATGGACTCTGGTAAAAGACTGGTATGTTAATGCAGCATATTTTCTTACCTGACAGTTAAAAACCCATACTGTTTTTTTTGTTTGTTTGTTTGTCTAAGTGTGTTTTAGAAGTTTTTTATTTTCGACATTTCAAATTATTTTGGATACATGGGGACATCCTTCTGAATTTTGTTGTTATCTGGGGGCCTTCGGTGGCAGTTCGTTATAAAAAAAAAAAAAAAAAAACATTCCCACTATGTTCTTGGCTACTAACTATCTGTCTGGAGCACCCTCTAATCTGGAGAGAGAATACCCCCAGTCTGATCAGGTGGCAACCAGCATGTTGAAGAGAAAAAAAAACATGCATTCCTGCAATGTTCTGGATCTGTTATACTGAGCGTAATCAACCAAAGAATATAACCACGTTTCAATAAAATTAAAATATAAACTAAATGTCATGTTAAGAAATCCTCAAATTCTGTGGTCTATAAATTCATATCATTTGCAGATTATTTTGGGATAAATTCATATTATTTACAGGTTATTGTGGAATAAATTCATATTATTTGCAGG